CACACACACACACACACACACACACACACACACACAGAGGCAGAGAAAAGAATGACTCAATTTATCCAGCTCACTCTCACTGGACCTCTATCAATTTATCCAGCTCACTCTCACTGGAGCTCTCTCTCTCTCTATCTATCTTCTGTGTATCTTGGAGCATGCACACGGGGTGCGGTAGGAGCGCGGAGAAGAAGAGAGAAGTTTGGCACGCACACAAAGACAGCGGGGTGCGGTAGGAGCGGGGAGAGGAAGAGAGAAGTTTGGCACGCACACAAAGACAGCGCGTTCCCCATCCGTCTCCCAAAATACATTTTCAGATAAAGCATCAAATTATGGCTGGCTGGTGAACTTGAAACAAGCCCAAAGAACAAATCTGAAATTCTAAACATAATCCAAACACAATATACCATGGTTCTTTCCTCCTCCATTGATCCTGTTTTTTATTTCTTGTTTTCATCACAGAATTTTACTCGTACTTATTGAGCTGCACTAGTTCCGCGTTACGACTGTTGTCACAAGCAGAGAGCGAGCCAGCCTGAATGAGAAAACTCGAAATCATATGAACTCAAAAAGATAAGAAGAATTACACACAACCCACTGGGGGCCAGAGTCGTTGCAGTCTACCGTAGCCATAGCAAGATCTGCTCACAACCCGACTCCCTTCATAAGATCTGCTATCATCCTCGGAGAGGAGCGCTGGCACTGCGCCGTACCGGTTTCGGCCGACTGCCAGCACCCGCTTCATCAGGGGTTACAACTGTTGTTCCATGCTCCATTTTTTTTTTCCCCTTGAAATAAATACGCTTGGAAAAAGAGTTTAAAAGCCCCAAACGAAGTAAATACAAAGTAGCGGAGGGCATATAAAAATCTCATTGATAATTTGATCTAAAATTTTCATATTCTGAATGGTGAAGAACATTACCTGACATGAACTGCACAGACCTTGCGGGAACGACATTCCGGATTCGCTGGATTTACTTTGTTCAATGAATTCAATTCAATAATTGTAGAATTCAAGCGTATTGTATAGTATATATCGTCACATAGATATCAGAGCGCAAAAGCGAAAAAAAACAAACAAAGGAAACAAAAAAATATCAATTCATTTTTCATCTTCTTCCTAACAACTCCCCCTGTTCAGAACCTCTTGCGTACAAGGCCTTCCACGTGGATGTAGGTTGAGCGGCGGCTGCCCCCACCCCCGTGCATCATATCGACCCACTTGCACACAGCCAAAAGGCAAAGAGGCAAAGAAAAGAGGAAGGAAACAGCCCAAACGAAACAGAACAGGSGGCTGCAAAGCAAATCCTAAATGACAATCCTAGATGACAAGTCCCACATGCAAACACCGCCCCGGGCAACTACAGGCCAAACGACGGTACAAGACCAGCCAGGATGTCATACCAAAAAAAAAAAAGGACCCGGATGACCAGTCCCACATGAAAGCACCGCTACCAGGATCAACCAGGCAACATCCCAAATAGCCGAACAACGGGACAAAACCAACCGGGACGCAGACAAGGCAAAAAAAAGCTCCGATCCACAATGTGACAACTGAAAAAAAGGAAGAGAAGACAATTCCGGATGACGATTCCCACATACAAGCACCGCCCCATGCTCAAAAGGCCGAACAACGGGAAACAACCAACCAGGATGCCAGTGCAATCAGACTCGTTTTCAAACACACTTTTCACACATGTAAACAGTAACGCAGCATACTGGCGACATGCGCCCACTCAAAACTCAGAGATATGGTTTTCAGATATGAGTTCACTCCCAATCAGTTATGGCGACTTCAGCGCCCAAACAACTCACTGTTCACATACACTGGATCACCCTGGATATCCCACACGCATC